CAACAACAACAACAGCATGTATCAAATTTATGTTAACTCTCTGGATTCATGTGCTTACCTTACAATCCACCATCCATCTAAAGTCTTTTCCACCACTTTAAGCATCACGTCAGCATCAAAAGACAGCTCATCGTCAGCTTGAGCCTGATAGCTTTTTATGGACATGTATATCTCCTCTGTTGAATACAAGCATGACGGACATATCATCCCCTTTATCAAATGTTACAGGTATTATGGTGATGGCGGAGGGTCCGGGTGTCTGGTATTAACCCTCAGAGATACAGGGGATTATTCTGTGGTGATGAAACTTTTAGTAGATTTTTCTCTCTCAGAAATGTTAATGTGCCAACTGTACTTTTTCCAGGTCATTATGTCGCAACTGTCAAATTTCTTCTGTTTGGACATAATTCTTCTATGATAATTACAATTCCTGTCACGAATCCCCAGCTATGCAGGCTCGAGTAGCATTGCAAAATTTAGTCCTTTTTAACATTCCATTAACATTTTTAACATTTTAGGTTAAACGGATATGCTTTATTTCCTGAGCTCATGAAACAAGATGGCGCATTTATTGATGACATATGATATAATGCCCCCAAAGCGTCTTTTATTGCAGAGCAAGTTGAGGGGGAGTCAAAAACCTTGTTCTTCCGAAAGTTAAAGGAACCTCTTGTGGCCATACTTTACCAAGGAGTCAGTAAATGAACCAATTGTCATTCCAAATATCTAGAGCGGTTTTCAATTGGGTGTCGTGAAACCAAAACCAAAGTTATCACTCTAGCCAGTTACAAAGGACGCAGACAATGTAGTGAACCAATCAAAATTCCAAGTAATTGCATGAAGCTGACGCGAAGCGCGCGAAACATGTGCGAAGGAATCACGATTGGTTTTGGTCTTACCTTTGATTGGATGAAAAGTGGAGCGAGTTTTTTTAAGCCAATCGTGTAGCGTAGTAAGTGCAAAATTTATTACTTTTCGACACTCAAGTGAAAACGGCTCTGTTCTACATTATTAACACAGTTAAGCTCACCTTTCCCAGGTGTAAAGACTTTTGATGTAGTAATCTCTGACCCATTGTCCGTGGGCTCAAGATGAGATGCAGGAGCCCAACCTAACTCTCCTTCCCGGTCAACAAGCCACCAGCCTTACAAAGAAAAGAAACAAGAGAAATGAAAAAAATTGAAGGGAATAACCAGTTTTGTTCAGGTAAATAAGTGCATTATGGTGCTCTCGAGAGTTCTGCGAACGACACTGGTCCTTCAAATCACATCAACAATGAATTATCTTTTCATTATCCTCACCGTAGTCGTTCCTTTCAATGACATCAATGATATCACCAGCTTTGAGAGAAATGTCATTCTTGTTTTTCTTTTGGTAGTCAGCTGTCACTACGTATTGTTCAAACATCATTGGTGCCGAGATCTCCTTGTTCTCCTCATCATCTACAGTACAAGCATGAACATTTTATTATTACCACTTATTTTGCCCCGTAATCATTATTGCAACGTCGACTACTGTAAAATGATATCGCTTAACGTATCGACTCTTGTTCTTCTAATCTTAAGTTAATTTTCTTTTTATCCTAAGATGAAGTTTAATTCAAGGGCATATATTTATAGTTTTACTTTCCGATTTCTTTTTTCTATAATTCATTTGCTTCAAACTGTTATAATTCAACATGAAGTGGACGAAGTATATAAATACAAATAAATAAATATAAATAACTTGAATTCTATGGACTAAATTGTAAATGTTAACCAGAGAAACTGCCCAATACTGAGCTAGACTTAGTTCGTATAGTGTGACCGTCCGGTTGAGGTTAGTTCTGTAAAGAACTGTTGTCGGTGATTGACTTTTCGACAACCTGAGCGGAAGTCATCTTCAGAGTCAAGTTAACAGTGTTTGTCAGTCGATGGCGTTGAAAGTGATTGTGATTCGTCTGTTTAGACTTACTCTCTGTTGTCTTGCCATCCATCTTTGCAGACCTCAGAATAAACAAACAAGTTAGACAAATTTTGTACAAAAAAGGAGTGTAAAGAATTCCTTTAGGATAGTAGTGAAATATTGTGCGCTAAAATAATACTAATTATCTAGATATTTTCTTCTTTTCCAGATGACTTCCAGCTTTTATAACTATGTCGTTTTCCTAAATATTATGGATATACGAAAACGCAAATGTTAGTTCGTTATGATAAATAAGTAAGCAAGCAAACGAAGGAACGAAGGAACGAAGGAACGAAGGAACGAAGGAACGAAGGAACGAAGGAACGAAGGAACGAAGGAACGGTAAAACCAACGAATTAGCAGACAAAAAAGAGAACGGACGAACGAACAAACGAACAAATGGATCGACGGACGGACGGATCGATGAATAAATTAAGTTATAAAAAAAAAATTAAGATTACTCACTCTCCATGAGGATGGACATCACTGGCACGAGACCTGCAGAAGTCCATAACAACTTGGCTTTTTGAAATGTTGTCAGGTGCATTGATTAGTTCCTGAAAACAAAATCAAAGGTTTCAGAGTTTCGCTTTGGCACTTGTCTCTGCTGAAGTACTTTCTCTCACAAATCTGTGAATACATTTCTATTTGGTGACTGAATTAAAATGCTTTTTGACTTACGTGGCAGAATTGGTTCATGAACTTCTGTCTCTTGCATGTTCCATCTCTAAAGCAGAACTGGCAGTTTTCACTGAATTTCCTCCCTAGAAAAATAAGTAATGAACAAAAATTTCTTCTGAATATTACATATTGTTCTTTCGTTGAGGAAACTTAACACAATTTTAGAGCTAATAATTTTAGCTTTTTTTACCTTTAAGAGCAAGGATTTCCTTTCCAAAGGCTGACGGAAATTCCTTTTTGAGGCTTTCCTACATTTAAGGACAATAAGACCAAAGAATATCAAACTTTTTTTTTCGATCTTTACACTGTCCTTATTGCGTCATAAAAAGTTATCAAAAATTGTTTTCTTGCAATGATTCGTAGACTGCGTAGCTGGAGGGATTTTACACTCGGAGGGGAGAGAGGGGTGCTGTGAGGGGGAGGGCAAATCTGCCCCCCACCCCCCTCCTTTTATATCACCCATGTTACTTTTTGGGAGTTAACAATTAAACAAACTCCCCTTTATCATGAATGACGTATGTGGAACAAAAACCTACCCCAGTGGAAACTTTGGAAAATATTTAAATTTAGGCGTTTGCTTGTATTTTGTTACCTGAAGAAAGAAAAAATCACTGCATGTCCTGTAGATTATGTTAATGTTCCCATCTGACCACACCACTTTGAGAATATAAACCTGGAAGACAAAAATTTAATCCAAATCTTAGCGACTTGCTAGTTCTTGCTGTAAAACATCTACGGTTTGCTGTGGGACATACGTCATGAAAATAAGAAGAACAACAAAGTACACAATAAGTTTACTTACGTAATTTTTATCGGGATTCTTCCTCTTTTGTATTCCTTCGACTGTAAGCAGCTTGGCTCGTCGGTTCATTTCAGATGTTATCGTCGGAGCGGCGACTTTCGCAACGTTCCTACCCGGGGACTAAAAAAAAAAGTAAAGAGCCTGTCTTATATGATTCCATCTGTGCCTTTTTGAGCATTACTCAATTTTATAGCGCATTCCACTCTATCTGAGGAAATAAGGTATTATAAAAGTGCTTATCCACTTTTCGTTTGTTTTGCTTGTCTTCACGACCATTACAATCGTTGCCAATTGTAAAACCAGGTTTATCAAAAACAGAAGGGGTCTTTTCTGTGTGCAGGTCGTTAATATATTGAAATAGTCTGGATCTGGCCGGTTTCGATGTTTGTAGCACGGTTGTTCCGGTACGAGGGAAAAACCTTTTGCCCTTCTTCATCAAGCTCTTTGAACTTGGGTTTTGAACGTCGCCTTGCCCAGTTCGAGTGTTGAGCAATTTTAATCTGTTTTCTTTTCAGGTTTATTTTCAAAATCCCACTTTAAGCAATTAATTTAAGAATCTAATGAGACTCATGCACGTAATGAACATATTAACTACCTTCTCTTTTCCTTGAGGGACGAGTCTTTTCAAGTCATCACGTTTCTGTTTGGGCCAGCTATCCAAATTTTCTTTGATTTGCCAATGCTCGTCCTGGTTGTCTGAAATTTCCTGCTGATCTAAGGTCTCTGGAGATATGGACCTGGATCTGCCAGGGGCAAGAAAAGCGCTCGGTGCCCACCCCTCACAGAAATCATTTTTGACGTACCACCAACCGCTGGACCCTTTCTGCAGCACGTCAACCTCCTCGCCTTCCTCCAGAGATACCTCACCGCTTTCCTCTGCGAAGAATGATCGAAGAACAACATGCTTCTTCCTAGTTGGGCTTCCTCTTCCATTGCTTTGTCTTGCACCAAATTGAGGTGAACTCTTCTTCTCCAACTTGAGAAGTGTCTCCTCCACTTCATCGGAATACTCAGAGTCAGTGGCTGAACTCTCACTTTGTACTGAAAGACTCTCATCACCCCCGGAACGTTGCTTGCTTGGCTCGTCATCAGGCTTGCTTTCCTTCAGTTGTTCTTTTTCGTTCAACAAATTATCAAGACCGACACCAGCACTAAATGACCTCATCTTTAGACCAGGTCTTGGAGTTGCCGCGTCAGTTCTGTCCAAGATTCCGTTATCGAGGGAGGTTGCTCTTGTCTTACTAGTGGTCACTGGGATGTCTTCACTTGTATGACGCTTATTCTGCCTGAGCTTTCGGTAAAGCTGGTCTCTCGTTTCCCCGATAAAGACAGGCAAGTCCTCTGCAATCCCGTTGGCACTATACCTTGTTTTTTGCTTTGCTATTGAACTCTTTTCAGGTAGTTTTCTAAGCGGATCTCGACCTATTAAAAACAAATTCGAAGAGTAGCACTTTTGTTTGAGAGGAGTTCACTGCAAGATCATTTCCTTTAAGTAAGCAAGCTCCCCGTCTAAGACGGGCAAAAAATTCAAAAACGCCGGGTTTACCAATAATATGCATGACCACATTGAAACCATTTCCCTTACCGCTTAATATTTCCGCCACTTTGTTGACGTTTTTCAATTTTTCGTCCTCCGAAGACCTGCG